AAAAAAAAGAAAAAAAAAAAAAAAAGAGAGTAAGTGGAGCCATGACCCCATTTTGGACCTTCTTGAAGTCTGACAGACCTTGAAACACTCTTGCTTTTCTTTCACGAGTCAAGAGTAGTGTCATCCTTGCGCAGGGGCCATGCTAATCTTCTCTGTATCATTCCAATTTTAACGGATGTCCCGAAGGACCGAGTCAATAGTAGTGCAGCGAGACCCGTGGTAATTTCAATTTCAATTTTGAACTGGCGAGTGCACCCGTCCAGCTCATAATGGACTTAGTCTACCGGGCTACCGGATACAGCAAGGAATTATTGTATTGCGTACATGTCTCCATCCACGAGAAAGGTAAGTTAGCCCCAGCAGGAAGTAGCCATAGACATACTAGCTCCAGTATTTATGAGAGGACAAGGCAAGTGACCTTCTCACTCAGTTGGAGGATTGAACAATGAACTGCGCGGTGTCCAAAAGCCTGGTTTGTGAGAAGCCCTTTCACAAGTGCTGATGCTCAACCAGACGAAACTCGGGGAATGTGCACATTCATTGAGTGCGGTACATGTGAAGATGTTACTATTTATTTGTAAAGCGAAGACAGCTTTGGCCACTGTTTATCACTATAATTCCTCCTCCTCCTCTCTCCTCTTCTTCTTCTTCTTCTTCTTCTTCTTCTTCTTCTTCTTCTTCTTCTCCTTCTTCCTCCTCCTCCTCCTCCTCCTCCTCCTCCTCTCCTTCTTCTTCCTCCTCCTCTTCTTCTTCTTTTTCTTTCTTCTTCTTCTTACTCCTCTTGTGCTTCTCCTTCTTCTTCTTCCTCTTCTTCTTCTTCTTCTTCTTCTTCTTCTTCTTCTTCCTCCTCCTCCTCCTCCTCCTCCTCTCCTTCTTCTTCCTCCTCCTCCTCTTCTTCTTCTTTTTCTTTCTTCTTCTTCTTCCTCCTCTTGTGCTTCTCCTTCTTCCTCCTCTTCTTCTTCTTCTTCTTCTTCTTCTTCTTCTTCTTCTTCTTCTTCTTCTTCTTCTTCTCCTTCTTCCTCCTCCTCCTCCTCCTCCTTCTCCTCCTTCTCCTCTCCTTCTTCTTCCTCCTCCTCCTCTTCTTCTTCTTTGTCTTTCTTCTTCTTCTTCCTCCTCCTCTTGTGCTTCTCCTTCTTCTTCCTCCTCGTCCTCTTCTTCTTCTTCTTCTTCTTCTTCTTCTTCTTCTTCTTCTTTTGTGTACACGTGCACTCCTGTTTGTTGACTTTTGGAGACCTTTCGTAGTCCTTTCCAGCGTGCAATCCACTATGTCTCGTTCGTCCCAATTTGTGTTCCACCTTCCTCTCTTCCCTCCTTTTTCTCAACAGCTCCCGCCATTGCTTATTATTATACTGCGGCTCTCGCCGCACCACTCACCAAGTGTGAAGAATGCAAAAGCTATGGCCCGTGTACCTTTCCACGCTGTAGTTGAAGATACACTCTCCCTTTCGCACCTTCGGAGGGTGGTGCAGCGAAGAAGCCCTATGCCACACCGAGTTCGACTCTTGTTTGTTGTTTGCTCCTTTTGCTTTTTTGGCAGTAACACCGACCGACCGATCTTTCATGCTAACCAACGGGCTTAGCTTAGCGCAGTTCGTACGCCCATGAACTGCCAAAATGTTCGAATCCGAATGTTCTTTTTTTTTTTTTTTTTTTTTTTTTTGCTGAGTTTTTCATCCGCTAATTACAAATTTCTAGACATTTATCTCTCTCTGAGATGTACGTTCGAATCCGAATGTAATCAGAGATGAACGAAATTCCTGAGTGACCTAGGGCCGGGGGCAAGTCCCACTAGCAGCGTCGAGCTACCTCAAAGACTGAATCTGGACGCTTTTGCGGAGATGTGCAGAAATGGTGTCGAGTTTGCTCAAATGCACGTCTCCACAAATACGTCCAGATTCAGGCGTTGAGGTAGCTCAACGCTGCTAGTGGGACTTGGCCCCCGGTCAGTTTCACGACGATGGGCCTCGCTCCACCACTCTGGACATGCACAAAAGACACAAATCATGGCGGTGTACCTATCCACGTTCTGGTGGATGATTCACTTTCGTTTTGCGCATTTCGAGAGTAGTGGAGCGAGGGCCGATATCTCAAGGCATGCATGCTACAGTGTCATGCAATGACCCCGTCTGCACAGAGGGGGAAAGTACTAACTGATAAAAATAAGGAGGCATGCTCACAGTATTCGGTCCTGCTCATGTATCCGGTCCGGAACTGGGGATAAGGGGGCGAATTGATGAAACTTTTCCACCAAAATGATGATAATTCCAGCCAAAATTGCCAACGTCTAAAAGAAACAGACAATTTCTCCTCCTCACACTACGGCCAAAATTGCCATAAATATAAGCTTATAAAAAAAAAAAAAAAAGAAACAGACAAGAGCACCAACAGACGCCCATAAACATCGGAGCCAAACGCACGCAACGAACGAAAAACTCAGCGTTACGCCCGCCCCTCTCCTTCCCCCCGCCTCCACCCCCTCATTATCACCCTTCTTCTCTCGATCTCCTCTGCTCCTCCCGTCACCCTCTCCCTACCGTAGCCAAATCCGACCCAAGTTCGACCCAAATCCCAGCCAAATCCGATCCAAGTTCGACCCAAATCCCAGCCAAATCCGACCCAAGTTCGACCCAAATCCCAGCCAAATCCGACCCAAATCCCAGCCAAATCCGACCCAAATCCCAGCCAAATCCCAGCCAAATCCGACCCAAGTTCGAGCCAAATCCCAGCCAAATCCGACCCAAGTTCGAGCCAAATCCCAGCCAAATTCGACCCATGTTCGAGCCAAATCCCAGCCAAATTCGCCGCGCATGTTCGAGCCAAATCCCAGCCAAATTCGCCGCGCATGTTCAAGCCAAATCCCAGCCAAATTCGACCCATGTTCGAGCCAAATCCCAGCCAAATTCGACCCAAGGTCGAGCCAAGTCCGAGCCAAGTCAGAGCCGAGAAAAGTCTGTAGCGAAGAGCAAGCCCACTCTTCGAATAAGAGAGAGTGCAGCTCTGGGAGAAATTCAGACGCCAACTTCGTTTTTTTTTTGTGTGCGTCGGCTTACAATGGGTCCCTCCTCATCGGAATGTGGGAGTCATTCAATCGCTTCCCTATATCTGAGCCAATAAACAATAGCTCTACAGCGATTTCACAGCCACTACAGAGGATTCAAGTACGAACCAACTCTGCAATGCCGTCCAAATTCGCTTTATATAGCACTTATTAGTAACAGGCAACCACGCAACCAACTCCGGGTCATGAGCAAGCGCCCCCTGGACCACCACGGCTCCAATCCCGGTGCTCCGCAGAGCCGCGATTCAGTGCATTCTGAGCGAAAGAGCGGGCCCACAGTGTAACTCTTCAGAGACAACACTGTGGAACTCTTCAGAGTACCACTGTGGAACTCTCTTCAGAGGCCCACTGTGGAACTCTCTTCAGCGGCACTCTGTGAACTGTTCAGAGGCCCACTGTGGAACTTTTCAGAGGCCCACTGTGGAACTCTCTTCAGCGGCACTCTGTGAACTGTTCAGAGGCCCACTGTGGAACTCTGTGGAACTGTTCAGAGGCCCACTGTGTGGAACTCTTCAGCCAAAGAACCGGCCCACTTTTGGAACTCGTTAAGAGGCCAAACTGTTATAGCCATTGCGAAGGCTGACGTTGGAACAAGACGCAGCGCACTCTGGGGTCGGTTGATTACTCCCTAGTCCGAAACAAAGCTATAGGGCATCGCTGCACTACTCTCGACATGCACAAACGACAAAAATCATGGGGCCGTATCTAGCCATGTTTCTAGCGAAGATTCACTCTCGTTCTGCACATTTCGAGAGTAGTGCAGCGAGGCCCATAACCCTGGCGCTAACTCAGAGCCCCGTGGACCGTGAAAGTCAATTCACAGGCAGCAGCTACTCAGAGCCACGTGGAAGTTAACTCACAGGCCGCTCGTCGCGAATTCACAGCCAATCCAGAACTCGGCTGCTGGATCCGATTCACAGCACAATCAGTCCAACCACGCCGACACCTGTTCTCAGCCGCTTGAGATTTCTCCATACACTAATTCCGGCAGCTCTCGCTGAGGGAATATAAGCACCAAATCAGGGCATCCTCACACTAGGACTCTCATTCAGCTCTGGACATAATTGCGGTCAGATGCATTGAGTTCTAGACGTAATTGCAGTCAGATACATTTAGGAAAAGTGCTAGTGTGAGTATGCACCCCCTCTGATAGCGAGCCAAGTCCGAGCAAAGTTCGAGCCAAGCCTGTCCCCCCAAATCTGAGTCACGTTCCCGGCCTCCAAAAAAAAAGGGGCGGTCTAAAGACCGCGTCCACCACTCTTTCGGACAAGGACAGACTCACACTAGGACTATTTCGACTCGGATCTGGACGTGATTGCAGTCATATGCATTCAGGTCCGGCGGTAATTGCAGTCAGATACATTTAGAAAAGTGTTAGTGTGCGTATGCCCTAAGAGAGAGAGAGAGAAGAAAAAAAAGAAAAAAGAAAAAAAAAGAAAAAAAAAGAGAGACTGCAGCTCTGGGAGCCATTCAGACCCGATGGAGTGCACCTTGAGAGGGGTACCTCTCATGGGAACATAGGGGTTCAATCGCTTCATTATCCGAGCCAATGCAAAACACCACTGATGCGATTTTTCACAGCCACGAAGTACAGGATCCAAGTGCACGAGCCAACTCTGGGGCGCTTCGAAATCCGATTTACAGCAGTCAGTAGCCAAGTCCGCACCCCTTTGGGAGCCAATTAAGACCCGACTCTGGGTCAGGAGCGAGCTCAGTCTGGACGACCTATATGGCAGATCCAACCCTTGTGCGCCGCAGAGCCGATTGAGAGCATTCTGAACCAAAGAGCGGGCCCCACAATGGAACTCCTCGGAGACAACCCTGTGGAACTGTTCAAAGACAACACACCAGAGGCCCACTGTGGAACTCTTCAGAGACCCACTGGAGAACTCTTTCGAGGCAGTACAATTAGCCATCGTGGAGCCAGATGTTGAGACATGAAGCAGCGCACTCTGGGGTCGTTTCATTCCTCTTGAAACCGGGAGCAAGCTAACCCTGACGCTAACTCAGAGCCACGTGGAAGCGGATTCTTCACACATAAAACTCATCGCCAGATTATAACCGACTCAGAACGCAACTGAATCCGATTCAGAGCTGGCCCGGATCCGATCCCGAAAATTCCTATGTGGTAATTAAGCGCACTTTCCCATACAGCTCCAGGGGACTGCTGAATGCCCGCTCAGAGAGCGACAGACAGAGAGAGTGAGCGAGACAGATACAACAAGGTTGAAGATACAGGGCGATAAGGGGGAAGGAAAGCCCCAAAAAGAGACAGGGAGGGACAATACAGAGACACAGAGAGAGAAAAAGAGACAGAGAGAGAGAGAGAGAGAGAGAGAGAGAGAGAGAGAGAGAGAGAGAGAGAGAGAGAGAGAGAGAGAGAGAGAGAGACTCAGCATCTCCTAGAAATCAATGAGCCTACTTATCTATATTCCTGAGAGGTTTGATGTCCCATTTACCTAGATGGCTAGGGGGGAAGAAATACGCGAAGAGAGGGAGCAATTCAGAGAAAGAAGGGAGAGGAGAGAGAGAGAGAGAGAGAGAGAGAGAGAGAGAGAGAGAGAGAGAGAGAGAGAGAGAGAGAGACTCGGCACCTCCAACAGATTAACCATCCTACTTATCTATATTCCTGAAAGTTTGATGTCCCGTTTGCCTGGCATGCTAAGGGGGAAGCAAGGCGCGATGAGAGAGGGGACAACACAGAAAGACGGGGGTTGAGAGAGCGAAAGAGCGAGAGCGAGCGAGCGAGCGAGCGAGCGAGCGAGAGAGAGAGAGAGAGAGAGAGAGAGAGAGAGAGAGAGAGAGAGAGAGAGAGAGAGAGAGAGATTGTCAGCATCCGCTACCAATCAGTTAACCTACTTATCTATATTCCTGAAAGTTCTGGTGGCCCGTTTGCCTGGCATGCTCTATCGCATCCTGTTGTCCAACGACTCCTTTTTGGCAGACCCCGCAGCGCAGTGTGAAACCAGCCACATCAGTATACCTTCGCGCTCTGTGCGCTTCATCAACCAGTTTCTGAGCAAGGTGGGATGCATACCCAATGCTCCCATCCTTTTCTACGTTGAAGATAGTCTGATCGACTTCTTCAGGTGCACCCTCAAAAGGCGCCATCGCCAGAGCATCGTAGTGCAAACCATCATAAATCACCATAACTCTCTCGGGAAAGTTCCTCCCTTGTCCGTACACGTCACACCGTCGAGTTTGAATGTCGTACGCGGCAATTTCCCGCCGGTAGTAATCTGACAGAATCGCCAACTCAATCGCTCCCCCCCAATGATCAGGTCCGCAAATCCAGTCCGAGTACTCTTTATTCGGTTTTCCCAAGAACGCATCATTATATACATCAGGAGAACTCATAACCACGGCTGCTATGACTTGCCTCAACTCGCTGGCCTTCATCCTGTTATGCTCCATCACATATCCTACCGCATTGAACAAACAGCTGTTGTCAGAGTCAATAACTCGCCTTACAACTACACCGTCCATCGCCGCCGTCGCCGCCGCCACCGCCACTGTCCTCCTCAATCAAGCTGTCTTCTTCTCCTCTCCCGCTCACTTCCCACGTGGTCTCAACACCACCCACAATCTCCCCACCGAGCCTTCCTTCTCTCTCTCTCTCTCTCTCTCTTGGTCCCCGGAAATTCACGGCTCGTTCTACTCGCAGTTCAACTTACTTCCACACGCCCTCTCTCTCTCTCTCTCGGTCCCGGGAAATTCACGGCTCGCTCTACTCGCAGTTCAAGTTACTTCCACACGCCCTCCTTGTTCCTACCGGTACCAGTACCAAATTTTCAGTATGTCCCTACCGGATGGCCGTAGAGAACCAGGACAAAAGTTTCCCATATGCCCTTATTGGTACAGTCCATCTTTCCAACGAGCCCCTGTGGCCGTTGTTGACACTCGCAGTCTTTCCCTGTTCCCGGGAGATGCTATTGGGGCATATCAGAAATTTGGCAATGAGCACACACACACACACACACACACACACACGCACACACGCACACACACAACACACACACGCGCACACACACACACACACAACACACAACACACACACAGATATACAGACCGTTTATCCGTGGCGGCGCATGGAATGCCTACCACTTTGAATTTGAATTCCTGCCACCACTGCTGCAAGGGCATCACAGGAAGATGTGTGGCCCTTGTGAGGGCATTTCAAGGACCGACGGACGAAACGCCACCAGTGGTCCAGTAAGGGCATATCGGAAAGTTACGCCCCATGCTGACAGGGGCCTGCAGAAAATTTCAGAGGCACGAGGGGCACCACAGGGTAAGTCGGCCTTTACAGGGGCACGCCGCAAATAAATGCAAGCTTTGGGGGCATTTCGAAAATTTTCCCTATTCCAATTCATTACAGTAGCAACTTGAGGCCGGGGCCAAGTCCCCCACTACCGTCTTCCTCCGAATAGAACGCCCGGTGATTATAGCTGTATTTGGCACAACTTTCAGTCCAGATGCGGCGATAATAGCTGGGCGTTCTAGACTGGTGAAGACAGGTAGAGGCGGTCCTGTTCCTGTCTTCAGAACTACGGGGCACATTGCGACGCGGGCGGTGTTCGCAGCCCGTCAGGGTTGCGTTTTCCCCCCCTGAGATTTTCAACGTTCAACGTCACTCAGATTTCAACGTCGGTGGTCGTCGGGAGGGTCAGGATTTTCAGGTTTTGGGGCTTTCAAGGGCCAGGAACGCGAAGGACCGGTAGCTCCCCGTAGGAGGCCGAGGAGGCCGCGGTCCAAAAATTGAAACGGTGCAGGTACACTCTTCTCGAATAGCAGATTTCCTCGAGTAGAAAACGTACACCTTGTATTTGAACACAACATGTACCCTTTCTATTCAGATTTCCAAAAGCAAAAACTCTTGTATTCCAATACAATTACTTTTTTTT